AAAGACATTCTCATTATACATTACATTTTCTGAGGTCACTACCCATGTTCATAATGATTAACAAGAGTACTGACATGGTATGGGTCGGCCCATACCTCAGCATCTAAAATGGCCCATACCTTAAACACCCTACCCGCCATGTTTTCAAGCAAAATTTGACTACAAAAAAAGATGAGCTGTTTTATCCAACACCCTCTTTAACAGGGCCAAGACACAGGTTCCTAGCCCTATGGCAGATTTTATTAAAGAACCACAACTGGTTGTGCTATCCCAAATATTCCAATTTTTCAGAAAAAAGCTTTTACTACAGGAAATTACTTAGTACCTTATAGCTGAGACACCTTCAGAGCTGCTAGCCTGCAAATAGCATGTGTTACTTGGTGGGAATTGCGCAATAATCACACCAAGTTACAGGTGATGGTGACATCATAAAACTGTTGAACTGGCCATGGCCCACACCTCAAGGTGGCCCATACCTCTCCACTTTCCCCTATATTATGTGTGTTTTTGAATATATAGAAACTATAGAAAATAATGTGATATTTAGTGACAGAACTATCAATTTTAATTACTTAGAATATAACATAGGGCAACAATTATGTGTTTATTTGGGTCTACCATTGAATAATAGTATATTACATAGATTTAGTCCACATGAATATTATAAAAGCGTAATTGATTTTATGAAAACTTATAGTTTAAATATGAATGATATTAAAATGGGTGAACATAGAATTATATATGATAAAGTTTTAAAAAGTATTAATGGGGAAAGACTTGTAATTATCCGTAATTCAAATCTCAGTATAACTTGTAACAGTATTCATAATAAAATTTTGGCAAATTATATGAAGACCTTCAACTATAAGTTAATATGGGATATTCTAACCCTTGAAAACAAAACCAGAGATCAAAAGAGTAGCAGGAAATGAATTATGTTTATTATGTAATATAGAACCTGAGTTTGTGTCACATATTTTTATGTTTTGTGAGTTTACTCAGAAAATTTATGATGAATTTGTTTCCTTAATTATATTAAAATTAATTAGAATAAATTTTGTTATAAATTATGATTCTTGTATATTATTGAATTTTAATGATCCTTTATTTAGTCATATAACAGCATTAGATTTGAATGCAATTATTCTTTTATTATCAATAGTGCGATATAAAATTTGGATAATGAGAAATTCTATAATATTTGAAAATAAAACACCTGACATTGCTCTCCTTAAAAAACAGATAAAAATGGCCCTAATGTATAGAAAAAATATAGAAAATTCCAGAGTAGACAAACCCTTTGAAAAAGAATTACAAAATTTATGTAAAGCATTAATTTAGATATTAATTAAATCAGGTTTATAATAAGTTTTTTGTATTTACTAATTTTGTGTATTTCCTTTTATATTGTATTATATCATTGTAATTATTAAAAAAACATTATTATCGTTGGATACTTATTACTGATGAAACAAACTGGAAATACTGTGAAACTCAATTTAACAAATGGATCATGAATGGAATGTGGACTATAATTTATTTTATTTGTTTATTTATTTTTTACATATTTATTGAAATCACTCAATGAGTGAACCAATTGAAAAAAAAAAAAAAAAAAAAAAAACGTTAACGCGAGCGTCTAAATTTATAATGTTGCCGGTGCCGTACTCGATCAATAAACAGGTGCCGCGTATCAGGGTAGGTACGTATGATGGGGCTCGTGTAGTTTTGTACCTAACAGACTTCTAGTAGGTGTGGCATAAAAATTTTTTGATAAATGTATTGAATGATATCTAAAGTCAAAGTCAGATGCATGCGGGCGCAGTTGTTTCGCACGCCCGCAAGGGAATTATGATTTGCATGCAGGAATTTCTGATTGCACGCCCGATTTCTCATTCAAAAAGGCCATGAAATCCAGACTAGCCACCCTCGAAACCTCAATAATAAACTAGTGTAAGCCATAGAACAACGAGTGTCATAAACCTTTAAACATTATATTAAAAAAATTTTCATTAGGTTTAGTACCGTACCGGTACCGGGTATATCTTCAACTGCTATATACAGATATATCTCAATTTTCCCACTACATTATCATTAATTTAGTGTTCACTTGTAATTTTTGTTATATCTGTATAAAGCCCAGTCCTGTAGTCTAACAAATAGAATGAATTTAAATAATTGTACTGATTTCAGGATTTATACAATTCAAGTTTAAAATATAGGAAAGAGGTTCTTCGTATATGTACCAGATTACAGGATTATTAATGAATGAATAATTTCACCATTTTGCAAATACAACAGTTTTGAAAACCTTTAGATCTTTTAAACCTTTGAATTTTTATTAAAACAAAAAATCATGTCTGCCGAATTGGAAGCAAATTTGACAAACTATAAAGTGCAATTAGCACAAGTCGAGGCAGCTCTATCAGCAGATCCTGAAAATGAAGAACTTAAAAAATTGAAGCAAGATCTTGAAGAAGTTATTCAACTAACTAAAGATTTAATGGGAGTAGAAGCTGCAAAACCTTCAACTAAAGCAAAAACAACAACTGGAAAAACGGCCGAAGAAATAGCAGAAGAGACTGTTCAGCCTGACAGTGGACCTCGTCATATGTGGAAAGTAGGTGACCCATGTTATGCAATATGGAGTGGAGATGGGAAATATCACAAAGGAGTACTCGAAGAAATTTTACCTGAAAGTGCAACAGTTGCAGTTCGATTTGATGAATTTGAGCAGCCAGATGTTTGTCAATTAACGCAGTTAAAACTGCTTGCCGATGGTGACAAGGCTGGTCTTAAATCAAAAGCCAGTAAACGGGAATTAATGATTCAACAACGTGAATATCGTAAAAAGAAAAATCAGAGGAAGAAAATGAGAGCAAAAGAGAAAGAAGCTGAATCTGAAATTTCGAAACATAAATGGAAAGAATTTAATAAAAAAATCACACATAAGTCTATGAAAGGTGCCGTCAAGAAAAGTATATTTGCATCACCTGAAGGTCTTGTTGGAAGAGTGGGAATTGGTACTTGCGGAACTGCAGATAAAGATATGACAAAATATGATGAGGGTGCTAAATATAACGCACGGCATCTTGTGCCAAAATCATGAAAGGGTGTTATAGAACTTCGCACCTATATCATTTAAGTAAGATGGCATGTCTTTCAGGGATAGTATCAAGCGACATATGACAAAGTTCATAATCTTGTTACCAAAAGCATTCTTTCTGGCATTTGGATAATATGAACTGGATAAGGAAATTTATTATTTTTGGCTTGTTTTAGATTATGTGTAATATTTTGATAGGAAATGGCATGGTATTAAATGTGTCCATGGATATTATGATGAAGTCCCAGTCATTTATTTAGAGAAATGATATTTTTCATGCCTTCAATCTATTTATATGCTTGATGAATGAAACAGAAATAATCGAAATAAATATAACTGGAATTTAGATTAGATGTTTCGAATCTTGTCTACTATTTTGCTGTTTAAGTTGAATAACAGTTCAACTTTTTCTCCAGTGAAAATTAATCAAGAATGACTGGCTGTCAAAATCTCTAGAGAAATAGTAACGTCATGAGGAGAATCTTTATTATTTCTCGAGTTACGATGATGTAAATTGTACCAATGTACTTCTACTGGTTTCTTTTCAATCCAACTGGATGTGAATTTACCCCCTGTGAAATATTCAAGCTTGTTTTATATATCTTTATTGTTTTCTCTATAGATCAGTGTAATTACTTACAATAAATTAAAATATTATTTGTCACGAAATGAAGAGACGACATACTATATTACGTGGCTCTCCTGGAAACAGCAAGAAGTCCAAAAACATTCCTACCTTGGAGTAATGGAAAACTAGATTCAGAAGCTATATAACTGATGCAATGAGTGCAATTGAGCACATTAGAAACATATTTCCACAAGAACAACTGCAGAACCGGTTCCCGCCTATTGTTTTTAAACATCAATTGTATGCTTTATTGGAAAATAGAACGACAGTTGATCAGCAAGTGAATGATCTTTTTGAATGTGGGCGGATAAAAATATTTCATTTGGAACATAGAAATGAGGAGCATATGATTGTATTAACAAAAGATTTTATTGCGCACGTCAATCGATATCACAATATTTCATCTAGGGAAGGACGGGGCGAACGCAAAGATAACAGGAAGTTAACTAGCAGGGAGCAAATCATATCTCGATTTTTGATTGAGGTTATTGGAAGTATATCAGAACTTACTATCACTGAACATACAATGATAAATCAATATGGATTTAAAGATAAAGACATTACAGAGTTGGTAAATGCCGGACTTCTAACTTTAAGAGATGCTGGAAGTTGGTGGTTCTCTATACCTGGCGCTGGTCAATTTGTAAAGATTTTTAAAAAAGGAAGACAAGCAACAATAAGAATGATTAGAGCTACTAAGAGCAGAGAAATTCTATTAACTGAACTCAGGTCTCGTAAATCACCTGCATCTATCAAACTTGGTCTAACATATCACACACATGATCTAGTTGGATCTGATTTGATAAAGTGCATTCCTTCCACCAGTGGACTGGTTTTAAGGATAGCAGATGATTAGCACTTGGCAGTGATCTTCTGCAATCATAGACAACTCACATTCCTGTGATAGCTCCTACTAACTGGAAGATGTTTTAATTTTGTGCCTAGATTAGCACAAATCGTCAGTATTACACTGTGCTTTTCTATTTATATTGCAACACTTTAGTAGATATTATAGTGGGATGCATGTCGAAGCCGAGTGTTCTTTTTCGATTTCCATGTTTAGAGTTCATACTATTTTGAAGTTCTTATTCTATTGTTTTTATATACTAGTCTTTATAGGTAAATCATATAAGTGGGGTTATCAAAATATTTGCCAACTTTTATATTTAAGTTTTAATTATTGCAAAGTCGAAAGTGCCATTTATACAAATTTTGACAGTCATTATTCCTAATGTATCTTCTGTCTGTATTTATTTATATTAAATATTTCATGATTCAATGAAAATGCCACCACAAATTGGCATCTATCCTAGTACCTCCACATAAAGATAAAATCAGACACTTGTTTCCTGTTGTGTCAATGAATATAAAAATTTATTTCAAAATATATTAAAACTTTGATGATATCAATTCCTTTCTTGAACAGGATGTTTCATTTCAGCATACAATGAGAATATATATCAAGTTTATAATATTATTTGTATATATCAGGCATTTACACGCTTGGCCTTGCAAGATATGCAGTAATAATGTTGATAAAGATAAGCATTGCTCCAAGATAAGAGAGGACTTAAAATTACCAAAATTGAATTTGTCATCTATTCAACTGCCACCTCTGGATGTAACTGTTGACTCACACATCGAAAAGTCTGGCTTTCACAACATTGTAATCACTACTGTCAATTTGAGTTCTGTTGCTGACAAAGATTTTGCAAACCACTGTGTTATTTTGTATGTTCAAACAGTGCCAAGCTCATTTTTTATTGATCAATATGAAGTACAAAGGAAAAGAAATAAATTTGTGGAACTCTTCAATGAAAACATAGATGTGGAACTTCCGCAGTATTTTGCTCATGAATCCACTGTTTTATTTTATTCGTCATTAAGCGTTATAGAAGGGAGAATGGTATCGAAAATTTCCATGCCGTGGCACTCAAGATACCATCTGTGCAGCACAGAGAATGACGTAAATAAAACTCATATTACTGCAGTTATACCACCACCTAAAATAATGATATCTTGCGTTGAAAATAGCAGGATTTTCAAGGCCTTTGCTGTATCATTCGAGTATAAAGGGTCAAGTTTGCATAGCTTTATCAGATGTGTTCCTTGCCCCTTGTGCAGAAATAGTAACAAACACTGTTGCACTTATAAGATCGACTTGTGTATGGGTCCCATTGGATCATAAAAATGGCTCCGAAATAAAAATTGATATTCCTGTAGGAGCACTTTCGGATGGTCCTTTTGTCAAGATAACCACACTTATTGTCACATGGTGTGGTACTCTTCTGATAGGATGGTATGCATACAAACATGCCTTTTGAGTAATGTCACCGTTGGAAATTTTGCCACAAATAACATGTGTAGAGAATCAAATGTGTGGAAGAAGACTTTGAGTGACTTCAGTCATTTGAACCAAACAACTTTTTATGAGATCAACTATGACTTGCAGAAGAAAAAGGAGAGACTCTTACTTGAATGATTCATGACTTGACTTAATTCTAAGGAGTGGTTGAAGGTTTAGAGAATTGCAAAAGTGGTAACTACAATGGCGTTTTACGATTTATTATTAGTGTAGCACAAAAGGAAATAAAATACCTCCTAAAATAGTGTATGCATTTTTACATTTTATAAAAATTTGATACTATATGATTGTGTATTCACATGGTGAAATTATTGCGTTATGACTTATTACAACAGGGTAAGAAACCTATGGATGCTTCACAAAACTTTGTCATGAAAACGCCACTGACTGCGCTTAAATTAATCATTTTTCATGCCACTACAGAATCGCTACCTTTGCATACTAATTTCAGTTGACCAGCTTATTTGGAAAATTCCAACCCCCAAAAAACTGAACGCATTAATTTCCCAATTCTGTTAAAACTGAGTCAAACATTTGATTTTGTTTACACTTGAACTTATGGTTGTGTGTGATTGTACCCTCAGTTCAATGAATCTAAGACGTTTTGCAAAAAGGTATGGAGATGTAAATGAGGCAATGGAGATAGACTGAAGTGCTGTTTTGTCAATCCATTGTGCGTAATGTTCTGCTACTCATTGGCAGCATGAAATGAGACAACAAAGTAGGTTAGTTGCTCATTCTGATGCCCATGGTTTTACTGCAGACATATAAGATGCAGTGCTACCTCATGGTCGAAAGACTCTTTTAAACTCTTCGGTATTTGACCCAAAAAAATTTAGTCAAAAATACTGCGGTACTTAATGGTTATTCAGACTGCGCAATCAGCCGCCTCTCTACCATTCAACAAGCATCAGTTCAGTGTGATAATGAGTGTACTATTCCACATTTTTGAAAAACAAGGAAATGATAAAGAAAGCTAATGTTGTACAGGGGGTGATGGCACTTATTGTTCGGGTACAAGTTTTAATAATATTTTGAAAACGGGTAGAATGTATTGAAATAATTACCATTTTTTCTTGCAGCAAAAAAGTTTCGGTACTAAGATGAATCATGTTAGGTCTCGCTGTATTAGCTTGTGTGCAAAATTATGCAGGAGCAGTACCCATAGATACCCTTTAATTGCTACCATTTTCAATTGGGGAAAGGTCTGTGCTACTGTCATTCAGACATTATTATAAGCTACAAATTCCCAATAAAACTCTTTATTATTAAAATTTGGAAACAAAAACTGGTAATAAGTACAAATTTCAACAGCATACACAGAAAAATAAACCAACAGTAAAAAAAAAAGAATTTACAATATGTGTTTATTTTATAAAGTGCTTTTGCAGGTAGATATCATGGCAATATAAATAAATAAAAACAGATAGAAACCATGGTTCATTATATAAAGCACCAAAATAAGATTTCAACAACAAGATTTCGGCACATCTGCCAAATGTGCATAAACAACTAGATAAGATATCTTCAGGAATTGACGAGCAGAGCTGCAATGACTTATATATGATATGACTGGTTCATATGGCAGTGCCATGGCGTGGTGGAGCATATAACACGACTTGAATTAAAAATGGCAGATTGTTAAAGTCTTCTTCTCAGCACAGCTTTTTCAATGGACACTATAGTTTCTAAACCTGATTTCAGTTTTAGCATTCTCTAAAATATTTATATCACTTTCATTTAAAATTTTGTATCCTTCGATTAAAACCTCATTCTTAGTTTTTGTCCTTGGTTTTGATAACATTTTCAATCGCACAGTACATGGTTTTGTATCTGGGTACTTGCTGATGTGAATTGTGAGATCCGGAAAAGGTGTCTGATCAACGAGTTTCAGACAATTTTGCAACTGGTAAAAAATAAGGGAATTATGAATGGAGTTCTATATGTACACTGACTGCTATCAATCGAGCTTGACTGTATCGCAAAACAAAATTCTAAAAAAATATTCAGACCATATGAACATGCATTCTATGGTACTCCCGTAGGGTGTGTACCAGGTTAGGGTTATGCCATAATTTTATTCAGATTTCCCTTCAGTTCTATCACGAGTTCGCGGACTGTCTGTTGTAAGTTAGCCAAGTGAATATAATCCCTGCCAATAAGTTTCAGTCCCTTTACACAACTTGATGTAAAGCAAGCGAAAAAAATTGATTACCTCTATATTGGTGCACAAACCTCTGGAGCACCCATATTAATGCACGCAAAACTATTACAGATAGATATTTTATTTATCAAGCTTACCCTCACCATAGGCTGCGAAGAAGTAAATGATTCAGGTTCACTTTCACTGACGTGATCATCTGAAAATACAATTTTCACAAGTTAAATCGTATTGAAGTAAACAAGTTCACCCACGACAATAAGTATATAACTCACCACAAGAGGATTCTGATTTGAAATGAAGAGATCGACAAGTTCTTTTGACTTCACTTTTAGATGATTTTGGTGATGTTTCTGGTAATGTTAGGATTAGTGTTATAAACTGGGACTTGATTAAGTTTTTATTGTTGCAAAGACTATTAGCAAAAAAAAATTCACTGAAAATACAATTGGTCACAGTTATGAACTGGTAGATGTGCAATAACACAAAGATCATTTCTCCAAATTAACAAGAAAAAGATGGAAATTGTAGTACAAGAGGTCGATAAGATATTGACATTGCTAGTGACAGTTTTAAAGTTATTTATTGAATGATTTGTTTACAAATAGTATGGTACACCAATGCTAGTATGACAAGACTTGCATATTCGAAAAAGTTAGTTTTTACAAAAACAAATCCTAACTGCGTTTATCTCCGCGCAGGTACCTTTAATATATTTCATCAGGAATTCCGAAACATCAAGGATAAACAATGCATTACCAATTTGCAGTTTAGCAACTAATCAACCACACCCATCGCCTAAGGCAGGCTGTTACAAAGCAATAATTCCAGGTTTATAATATATGAAATAGGAAATGTTCAGTCCAACACTTACTATTATATCTTCTTGTTGAAATCCATGTTAGTCCAGTAGACATTGTGTCTTCAGTAACATTTAATTGGTCAGAATCATTTTCATTATTTTCCACATCACTGAATTCAATTGCTTCTGTACTAATCTGGAAATTAAAATCAAGAAAATCAAACATTTTTCGTTAATCGCCCAAGAGCTAAGTTTATGGTACCACACAGACAGTATGAGCAAAACTACCCTTGTTTAATTGGGCAATGAAAGGAACCTTCAATATTAACAATCGATTTATGCCTCAGATGGTAGTGCATATTTATGTCATGCTGTAATAACCAGTCAAACAACATTTTCTGTGGTTACCAAATCATCATTGGCGTTATTGACTTTAGAAGGTAAAGTAGTAAAGAAAACTCAAATATGCATCCTTAAGTGTAATATTAAGCATTAACAGAATTATTAATTTAAGTGCAACAACAGGCAAAAACTGTCTAACAGTTATTTTGCATTTTCCCTATCTTACAACACCGTTCACGTTTATATACTATTAATCCGCATTCCGCAGTCAAATTTGGAGCCACTATGACCATTCATGCAAAGCACCCATTATTGAAATGCAGGTATTCAGGCTCTGTAACTACAAGGAAAAAGGAGCAAACATCATTTTCATGCATAAAGTAATAAATAAGTTATACCTCATTCACAATGGGTGTCCTAGTTTCTTCGACTACAGCCATCCGCTTCTCTTGACAAAGAGATGAAAAAAACTTGGAACCTGATTCAAGTAATCTTTTACATTGAGGACTGTCAATACTGATCCTAATCGTTGAGTCTTCTTTCTTACCATATTTATAAAAAAATTCAGGCTTCATAAAAATGTTCTTTTTACATAAATCTACAACTGGGCTTTTCCTGAAGACTGCTTTTGTTGTAGAAATTTCAGTACGAGGTCTTTTAGATATTTCATTCTCTAAGTTTTCTGCGTCATTTCTTTTGCGTTTCATATTCTTTTTCGTTTTTACACGAAGATGAGCAGTGTTTTCATTTAGAACTGCAAAGGGAATCCTCTGTTGGTTTGGACCGCCCTGACTGAGATGTTTTTCATTAATTTTATCTCCAATTTCATGTTCAACTTGTTCGTCCAAAATATTTTGATTCAATCTCTCATAAATGCATGTTGTAAAGTCTTCATAATCCCAGGGCTTTTTTTCTGTCATTGTCCACCCAGCCCGAGAACATAGTTTCATAGACTTCAAGTCGGTGAAAACTTCTGGAATTTCTAATGAACTGGTACGTGGCATTGTTAGGATGTCCAAATCTGTAAATTATGTATTTTTATGACCGGTAATTGATTAGTTATCGATAGCTGCTGTACCACATACAGATTTAAACCAGTAGGCAAACAAGAATGAGGGACATGCGATTGAATAATCAATATATTACTTCAGTAGTTCCCAACCTTTTTCTCAGCCACCAAAATTTTCTAAAAATTGAATTTTGTAAAATCTCGCGACTCAAGGATATGTTCAAATATTAAATGGCATGCAGTACTTTTGTGGCCGTGAAATTGAATGACTAATATAAAACAAAGTGAAAAAACTGCGCTAGTTTGTCCTCAGCGAGGTTTTGAAATTGTGGCGTGGCTTTGCAAGCAACACAATATAAACGCTGCTAAATTTTTACAATGTGATACTTCCCACGTATACAATCAATTGAACACTCGATACCAATTATAAAATAAACAATAAAATTTACTAGAAAGTGGAAAATAAAACCCAGTTTTGGGTTGTAACCCGTAAGTTGGGAAACACTGTTTTACTTGATAGAATACTAGAATTAACCAACCAAAACGGTTGATTCCTCAAACAGCCACCAACCATAGTGTAATAGACAATAATGTTTATCCAATATTCTATACTCATTACTCAGATGTTTATTTTTATTGTTTCATTTTTTTTTTCTATTTGCCTCAGATGGTAGTGCATAATTGATATCATGCTGCAATGAAGCAGTCAAATATACAATTTCTGTGGTTGCCAAATCATCATAGGCCAAATCATAGAAAGCTGTTTACAAGTCAGGTAGTGGATATTCTAGCTTACCTAAACTAGGAAACATCCATTTAAGCAACTTTAAAAATTGCATTTCCTCCACCTTTGTACCATTTTCCACAGTGTGATCTAAGAAAATCTTCAACAAATACAACACAGCAGGATTTGAGATCTGTTTTGCGCCGAGCCAACTTTGGTAAATCTGCAGAGAAAGTCATCCAAAATAGTTTATTCCTGTGCAAAATTCTCATTCTTTACCATATTAAGATAACAGACACAAACAATTATTCTGCATCACACCTTAACTGAATCATAACATCATGATTCATGATACATTGGTGATTCCTTAAAACAGCAAAAATTCAAATGGATATTCAACTCATGGCAATATTGGACAGGATTCTATTATTAGCAAAGTCTAATGTTTAGCATGTAAAGAAGCTCAATGAAGTCAAAAAAGAATCTGGTGTCAAACTAGTCCCAATCTAGATCCAGAAAAGTTATAAAACTTGTGTGTGACAGTGTTCTAGATATACTCCATAGCAGTGTTAACTCTAAGCGAATTATGAGTGCGAAAGTGCTTCGCAGTCGAAAAAAAAAGTGCGAAAGTGCTTTTGCCGATTTTAACAAGTTAGGTGCTGTAGCCTTTCATATAACCCATTTAATACGGCATAGATACTCGAAAAAGCGCTCCTCCGGTTAATATTATTAATTAAAGAGAAGCCCTTCCGTTAACCGAGTTCCCTTTAAGCGAATTCATGTTTAATTAAAACAAGCGAATTCATCGGCAACGAAAAGACATCTGCTAACACTTGCCGCGAACAAAACTTTCATGCAATGTATCACTGGTGTCAGTTGCTTACTCGCGTGAACAGCAAAGGCTTTCACATTTGTTACTCCTTCCATCTAACAGACAACGATTGATACACGTAGGCTGGAAACCATATTAGTTACAGGGTGGATCATTTGTACAAGTCCCGTGCAAAATACCCCCCCCCCCAATATAAGTAGCAATCAACTAATTAGGGTTAGGTGCGCTGGAAATTCAACTTTTCGATTTATCCCTAAACCTAATCTGATAATTATTAATTTGTGATTTTGAACCACTTTGAAAGTCGCCACCCGCTGTTTTAAAAGATAGGTTAACCTACGTTCCCTCCGAAATATTACACAGGATACTCCTCTGTTTTATGAGATAGGTTGACCTACTTCCTTTTAAACTTTTTTCTCCGAAATATTACACAAGATCACTTTGAAAATCCTCCCCTTTCGTGAGCTAGCGTGACCTAATTTCTCATTTACATTTATATTATACTATTTCAGAGCTGTCGACATGCCTTGTTTTGCGTGCGAGTTAGTTTAAATCAGGCAGAAAACATCATATATTGGCAAAATGTTTAGTAATGTCATGTACTTTCAGCATTCATAAATAGCACTCTTTGTAATGCTGCTGACCTAGTATCAAATATTCGCATCACAACGCCACTTGCGAGGTTTCCATATATTTCAATTACACTAATAGGAACGATGACACCAAAGAGTTTTCTTTTGCGAAGGTACACGAAATATAACGAGGGTGATTCTTGAAAAAAACATGAATATAAAAAATAAACGAATGATATGATAGTGGATCCCAAATAATTTTGAGAGTGTCTCGAAATACCAATCCATTTGATAAATAATTTTTATTCGACCACATGAACGCTGATATCCTGAAAATTAATGTTGAAAGAGAAGTACGCATTCTCAGATATCGGACATCCAGTCGCGATATTCAATCGTTCATATGCACAAATCTCACATTAATAGTAATTGTTACCCACGTTTGTAAAGTTTAGAAACCAACAAACAGAAAATAACTTATCCTAAAACACAATTGAAACTCAGTCGGCAATAAATTCGTCGCCAAAAGGATGCCATACAAAACAAAAAAGATTTGGTCGCGAGAGTTACGTTAGATGACTGCAAAACGACGTTGTTTTTTAAGCAGAATGTAAAACAATCAAATTAAAAAACGGGAGTTACGACGCCCTTAACACATCGTGTGTATTAAATTTCCCTGGTAAGTACTATTATTATTGTACTTATACACCTGTTGGAGTATTTCGGACAATTTCGAATTTAAAATTAATGAAAACCCGACATATAATAAAGACGCAAAAGTAAAATGAACATTTATTGAAAAAGTTATTATTCAAGAAAGACAACATGATCGTACAATTCCGCCCAAACCTCGATGTGAACATTTTATTCGACCATACATGGCCGGCGGGATGTTAAAATTGTAAACAAGAGAGAGTCGCAACAATCGCGAATTTCGTTTTGTTGCGCCTGTTATCGTCGAAAATGATTACATTTGTTGTATTTTGAGGCATTTAAGCAGTAATAATTAGGGCATGACATCATCAAAATCGTCAAGTGAGATTTTGAAATTGCAAATTCCGTAAATAAAATTGTGAATTACTCGGTAACGAATTCAGCTTCAATGACCATCGGGGTATTGTTTTGTTGAAAATTATAATTAATGTGAGAGCGCCAAAAACATACAGTCCATACCGATGCGACTGCAATTTATATGGCCGCACTTGGTGTGGCGCGTTTATTAATAGTGTAAAATAAATTAAACGAATATCAATTATAACCAAGCCTGTCAGCGTGTTTATTTTCTGTGGGCAAGAATCGTAAAATACCATCTTGAGACAAATTCACTTCTATTATAAAATCTAATTTTTCAGTTATTATCGTTATACAAATAACCTGTGGCAACTTTTTAATTTATCGTCGACCAAAAACCGCCCCACACTCGTCCAAACGTGTGTCAAGCTTGACCGACAGGAACAGATTCATCGACGACTTTAATTAGGGAAAACAAGTATTTTGTTGGGAATGCAAAATAAATGTAACAAAACGCATTTTTTTGTGATAAAACTTTGTATTTTCGGAAACGGATTGCCGTGAAGGGTAAAATTTGATCTAAATTAATCGCAAAAATGTTTTATTTTAAATGTAACAAAACACATTTTTCGCAATACAACTGTATTTTCGGATACCGGGTGTCATGAAGAGTAAAATATGATCTGACTTAACCGTAAATAATATTTCATTCCAAATGTATCAAAACGCATATTTTGCGATATAATTTTGTATTTTCGAAAACGGGGCGTCATGAAATATATTAATCTAATGTTTTATCTATCGTCTAACTAACGTCTGGTACACATCATTTTCGGGGAGAACTCTAGCTCTAGCCCGCGAAACATCATTTAATTTAAAATAGAGAATGTTCCACGCATTCCAAAACGGAAAATCATCAGTAAGTCGACAGGGATTCAACCCTCCGGATTCAGTATTCTATATCCCCCGTGCCAAAAATTTCTGAAGATTGGAACAAAGAACCCGTCAAACCGCCGCGGTTTTTGCACTAATAATTAGGGCGTGACATTATCAATATCGTCAAGAAACTGGTGAATTTTCAAATTCCATAAATAAAATTGTGAATTGCTCGGTAACATTTTAGCTATAATTATCGCCGGGGTATTGTTTTGTTGAAAACATGTTGAAACTTGAGGGAATTAGTTACAATTAGCGCCTGACCTCTATTAGGCACTCGAGCACTCGAAAAAAAAAAGCACTTGAGTCCAATCTTTTCAGCATTAAGTCGCATACGTAAAATATCCTGTAAAAGAAGTGCTGTTCATTAACGTTATCTCGTCCTATGACCACGCAGAAATGCCTTTATTGCCGAATTATTCAATCACTATTTTAAATCAACATTCAGGATTGGCACAATTTCAGATTTGCCAAGTTTATGACCATAGAAAAACATGAGAAAGTTAATTATCGTCTTAATAAATATCAGCATCACGGTATCGACAATAATATTACCATTCGCATCGTAAATTTACAAATCTTGATAGGTAATATTAAAGCCAACGCAAATGTTTAATTGAGTCCTCAATGTCTCAACAGCTGTTGCCAATGTGAGCAAACGGTAAACCCGAAATATAAAACTTCGATGTCCGCCGACCCGCAAGAATTCATATTGTAAATAAGAGAGGGCGGGAATATACGGTAGATTAACAAAACCTGGATATCGCCGCCAAAACGATCGGTGACAAGAACAATTAGCGATTACAACGGAATTAACCAGTATAAAGGCTTTGTTGCCGATTTTTTAATGTTTCAACCGACGTTCCAAAGATATTTGTTATTCGGTACTCGTTAAAAATATTCAATTCAATAAAATATTGAATTTTGCCCACCCGTACTCGCATATCAATGAGAAATAGTTGTGTAAATATCGCAAAATGCCACGTGCTTTCAACATTGTGATTACAATAAAATGGCACTTAATGGTATTTTGTGAATTTGGTGATTTTGCAAATCTGTGACATGCTGCTAAAAGTTTCGTCTGATTTGAAAATCGTGCACTTGGTCACAATACATCCAAAGTGACTATAACACTTTACTAACACTTTTAATTTATAGTCATTTTGAATTCAACGATATCATTGATAGTCACATGACCACTTTCGTTCAAAGAAAGGCACTGGTAGTATTCCAACATCTGGTTTCAAAGACGCCGAGCGTTTTTGCGGGAGAAGCGGAATCGGTGTGCTTGTATAATAATCATATTATAAACAAGAATTTTGCCGTTAATGCAAAAGCTTTATCTCCTATGTCTGCATCTCATAGGTTAGAATTCCGGTAAATATCGTTATGATATGCAGAATTGAGTTACAAAAGTACTAGTATGTTACTTATTTGTCAACTGAATACTCGAAAATATTTGTTAATTTCGAATTTTTATTCCATTCAAAATCGGAAAAAAGTGCTATTTCTCTTCAAAATCGGAAAAAAGTGCTATTTCGCAGTCCCTAAAAAAAGTTGCGAAAGTGCTTCGCAATTTTCGCAAAAAAGTGCGCTAATAGTTAACACTGCTCCATAGTCTACTAATGCCTCAGATGGTAGTGCATAATTGATATCATACTGCAATGAAGCAGTCAAATGATATTTTCTGTGGTTGACAAATCATCATAGGCAAAAAAGAACTCAGCTAGGAACGTAAAGTTTTGTTTGTTTCACAGCAAACATCATAAACCGAAATAGGTTATACAATAGGAAATATGACCTGATTGAACCAACCTCATTTGTTTTTCTTCCAACCAGTAAACATGATTCAATTTTCCTCAGATATTTGTCAATATCTAATATCATATCTTTATGAAAAGATGAACCGAATTCTTCCATCCATTCATCGTAAAAGTAATCTGAATGAAAAAGAATTTCGCTAATTTTCAGAAGCATGCATTCACATATACCTTTGTCCTTTCTAATTATTAAACTTTCTGGCAGAGATATACCAAAATGTATTTAATTTCTAGAATTATGGGAGAGCAATACAATTTCAGTAATCAATATCTTTAATTAAAACAGTAATCATAAAAATCAAGATGTACACCACAATCTACAAATTCTTACTTAAAAGAGAATTCAGCTCACATCCCTACTAACAGGAATCAAAATACATTCATTTTGGAAGCAAATCCCTTTCTAACAGAATATGATAGAACAAGCGATATGTATTAAAAATAAACTTAGCTTTACTGATAAAATGATGAAGAGTAATTCACTGAACAAAAGGAAGAATAAATGTTAATGTATCGGTATCTGGCAAATGAAGACCTATACTCACAAGAACGGAACTCCATGTCTGTTAATAATTTGGTGACAAGTTTCCTAAATCCATAAATTTGTCTTTTGATGAGAGCCAAGAACCTTTTTTTCTAAAAATATAGTTAGGGTTAAATAAGGAAGGAAAAGTTGTTATTACCATTCAAACAATTATGCGACAAAGTTATATCAAAGAATCAGCATAGAAGGTAAATGATATATTTTCTTCACAACAACTTTATTTATGTAAGAAATAAGAAAGGATCATACCAAGGATCTCTTCATGATATTGAACGATTCCAGAGGATCATGTTTTGGAAAAAAATCATTCATAACACGACACACGTTGGCAGCACTTTCATTATCGAGAAGTGTGAACAGAATAAACTGGAGATAGAAATAGAGTGATATTAAATTCTGTAAATATAGTAATATATCTGATGTCATAACATGCTAATATTGCGCAATTCTATAGCAGCAGTACTATTAATTAAACTTGAAATAATTAGGTCAACAGTTGAGAACAAATCCCATTTTGAGTTTCCCATATATTGGTGAAAAATCACTTCATCTGGTATAATTACTAACATCTAACTTAAAATAAATAATCAAATAATGCTGCATAACAAAAATGCCTCAGATGGTAGTGCATAACTTATATCAAACTGCAACTAAGCAGTCAAAATATGTTTTCTGTGGTTGGCAGATCATCACAGGCAATTTTATGAAGCATAATGTAGGGAAACCAGCAATGTTGCAGTAATATATGTCTACAAGTAAGAATTTTAAAAACTTGTGATCTCATTAGAAAGACATCAGGATCGATTTATATTTTAACTATGGTAAGCATTTCACAATCTTTAACTTCAGTCACCATGCCAAACACCCTCCTTCCAGGGACAAATATAGTGTTTGTTTTATATAGCCTGTCTACATATTGATCCATTCTTGAAATCGGCGAATTGTGTCCTGCTGGAGAGATGTGAACAAGGCCTCATGTAATTTACTTACAGATTGTTTAATCCTGAGAATAGAGTTTACATATTCTTCTTCACATCCAACATCAGAACATAAAGAATGAAGAAGTTTCAAATACTGCATTATATGAATGAATTCTTCCTGGCAATTGTCGCCAATGATGTGACGGATAGATTCTAGGAGAAATTTAACCTGGGTCCGATGACTGAATGACGAAATACCAGCAAACTCCCTCTCGACAATGAAGATGCATGCTGAAAAATACAAAGTTGTTTGAGTTATCTTGTTCAACTAATTCAGTAATTACTGAATTATATCCATAAGACATTTATCTGTTTATTGTGTTGCTTCATCAAATATGTTGAAAATGAGAAAATATTGTATCTATTCTAACGCTACGATACCCAGGTATCGTACCACTGTAATAGTACCAGACCATATAGGGTGGCGTAGCCAGTCTGCGGACGATTTCATTCAAACCGCTATAAAACAAAAACCAATATTTCTAACCCGTTAATTTTTTCACCGTAGGTGCATTGGCATTTATTCTACACGCTGAACTTCGACTTAACTTTCTACGACCAGGGGTTAAAGCTATACAAACCACCAAAGTAAGACACTCTGAAGACGTATTGCGACCGAACGACCAGTGTGCGATCACGGATTTCAAGCCTTGAACATCGTTTCTGCTGCGTCGAGACTAGGGCATTCGCAGCCATGCGTAAAAAAATGGGCTTCTAATTGCATTTCTGACCGTCATATATTTTAAGAACACGGTTATTTCGAACAAAATTCTTCAAATTAAAAACAAAGCACCGCATCACAGCAATCAAACAGACAAAAACATGGTGGTCGCAAATTAGTTGACAAAGATATTATTGACGTATTGGAAATGCGCATCCCCCTACTCCCCCTCCTTAGAATGTAGAAACGCGAAACTTTAAAGATGGTTAAAAGAAACACAACTCTACCCACCTGCCAAGTTTCATCTCTTTATCTCTTATATTCTGTATATTTGTATGGATTTTCAAGCTTTTTTAAAGGAACAATGGGTAGTTGGCGACATGGTAAAATGGTCCGTTTTTTTTCTTCGGTCGTAACTTTTTTATTTGTGGCCGCATTTCAGTGTAATTTCGCAGAGCTACGAGGGATAAGTGGACAATAACGCGTGAGAAATATCGTCGCGGTTCGTTAATTTTTTCGGCATTAATTCAATCAATTTAGTTGATGATCGCAGATAGGTCATGGCCGCAAAGTGGGTAAGCCACCCTATACCGGTAAGTCGGATGAATCGGTTTTACAGTTTTCATCAAAATTTACAAACAAATTCTTCTGTTCTTGGAATCGGATAACTACAGAACTATGCTGTAGTGTTGACTCGGATTCACAATGGGTATTACAGTATTATTTCAACTTACTGACTTAGGCTATATGTTGTATAAACTTAATAGCAAAGGTCTGAAGGTTGGCAATTATTATTCATAACGGTCTGCTGGTAGGTCAGTCAGTACTGCAGTACTGCAGTAGGTCAGTACAGCAGTAGGTAGAAAATCCATGATGTTTGAAATATGTCTGTTTGCCTCACCAGACCATTGTTTAAATTTTTAGTTTCATTAAAACTATCCTATGAACCCATTCTACCATCTTACCTTGAATCAGACATTTTGACTTCTGCTCCAGAGCAAAGTGAAAAATATTTTCAAGTCCATTCAATGACCAATCACAGTTGGGTTGTAAATATGTCCTTTGTAACATTTTGGACTCACTAGGCTATATTATCAATTAAAAAGATCGAACATAACCTCACGCAATATTAAAAACAGTGGTACTGCGTGCTTCGGAAGCATTCCAATTTCTAATTCTAGCAACAAAAGCATAACAGAGACATACAGACTATCTACAGAAAGATCCACGACACCGCCAATCCTCCAACGCTCCCACCGTTTGTTTATAAAAGAAAAAAGGCGAAAGCCCGCGCAAATTGAATTCATAAATTGCCGGCAATCGCCACCAGTGGTCAAAGCAAAATCCCCGACATCCGATTTATCAGGTAATCGTGAAACTTTTAAAATTTCTCTGATTCAAAACTAGTAATGGTAGGAAAAATATGTTCAAAAAATTATCACTTTGATTCAAAATACGTCATCTATCATTTGTGCATCTGCAATATTATGACGTAATAAATCGAATTCTCTCCTTTTTCTCCGTCGGATTCACGACAGCTTTTTACGTCATAAATCTCTCGCACCGCCATCTTTTCTCCGGGCGCCTCCTTTTCGCACTCTCTTTCTTTTCTGTAGGTTGCGAGATTTGAGTGGGAATTGGTGTTTATATGTGCGAAAGTAGTGGATTTTAGGTAGTTTCAAATTATTGCAGAAGTTTTATTAAAGAATTTTCTATGCACAAGGATGACAGTGTAGCCGCTATAGGCAAATTAATCGATGTGAAAGTTGTGAACATTCAAGTATCTTTGTGCATGTGTTAAGTTAGCAGAGCGGCGAGGCCGTGTTTTTCTCTTTTTGCGGCGACGCGCTCATTCTTATCACTCATCAGGTTTTGCGTGTATTTATCTCCATTTGAACAGTGACAGGATATGCTCTTTTATCTTTCTTTATCTTTTGGTAAAAGAACAAAAAGACGAGAAGGCAGCATGTCAAAATTTAAATGCGTAAGGTAAAAAGTCATCACCACATGTTTTGCTCTTCATATCATGATAGGCTAATCGTTCTATCACGAAAAAAGTGTGAGATTAAAAAACACAAGCACAACAATTTCAATTCTCTCAATATAATTAATACAACTTGTTTACAGCATTACCTGATGATAAAATTCCCCACCCACCAAGATTCAATTATTCTCAGAAAATTACCTGACAATTCATAGCTATAACCAGCAATTAAACATAAATTGGGTATATAAACAATGAATTAATAATTACTCATTAGATCAATGCAGCTGAATATTTGTCCCACAAAATGGAAAGAAATTTTTTTTCCTATTCTCACTCGCTCTGTAATGTCAGAAAATTTCCCCAATATATACTATGATATATAAACTTAAAGCATAGAACCAATTATTGTTATTATGAAAATTGTTTTTTTATGACTGAAAATATATTCGAACAAACGAAAAAAATACTTATGATATTCATTGCTGGCTATTATATTATTCGTCATACGTCCAAAGAAAGGGGAAATTCAAATTTGGGAATATCGGGCTGCCTGTCTTTCATTTTTTAAAGAGAAACTGTCCATATATATTTTTAAAAAGTCCCAGTTTAAAAAATTGACAACGTGTGTAATGCTATTCTTGCACTCAATTTCTTCTTGCTTTAAGACTCGAATAGACGATATGGCTGACCATATTGTTTGGTGTGGTGTGGTAAGTTTTTCAACAACTTACACTCTCAAACTAAACAATTTTATGCCTGTGGTATTAAAAATGACCAACTGAAGAATTAAAATTATTAGAACATTAAAATGTTTCAAGATCATTAATTGATTACGTCCATAAAATTATTTGCTTGTTAAATTACATTAGCCTGCGATTTAAAACAATTCGTAAGCTCTAGTTTCTTCATCCTTCCATTTATTCACAGTGAATTTATATATTACAACATGCCCTGCTCGATCGAAATATTATATATACACATATATCACTGAAATATGAAAATAATTTACTCTACAATTTAATACTTTGGAATTCACAAAATGTTCGCATTTCAATTTCAGATATTACCACCACATGCTTTAATCTGGTAGCAAAAATGATTGCCACGAGCACCCAGCCAGGAATGTTTCCAGTTGTGTCCGCAAGTAATCCAATGACTCTGGTTCATACTCTTCCAGCACCTGGTTCGACTACGGTGTCTGCACAATCGTTAAATACAATGCCATCAACATCTGGCCTAGAAGTTTCACCAGTAGAAATAAGGGAACCGGTCATTGGTTTGGATGGAAAAAAGACTTATCACTGTACATATTGTTCTAAAAGTTTCGGATCTCGGTACAATGTTACAAGGCACGAAAAAGGCTGCAAAATGGCACCTCCTGGGAGTGGTGGAAATCAACCAGATGCAGAACCAATTCTTTGTCCCAATTGTGGAAAACATTTTCAAACTCATGATGGGATGACGAGACATTTAAAAAAGAAATGCAAGGTCAGAAACAATTCCCCACATAAAATCTTATATAATAATTTCAAACATTTGAAATATAATGCTATTTATGAAATCTAATCTTTGCTTCAAATTAGGATTGTGGCATTGGTGAATGATTTAATCTCCAAGCTCTTGGTCATTTATATTTAAAGAACAACTTTGTCTCCATGTGACAAAAATTTTAGCCTTTCCTCCAGATTGAAGGAAGTTTTTTACTGTGATTCTGATATCAATAACATGCCATACTCCAACTTGTGGATTTTCTGAGATTCTCAAACCTTGAGTAATCGAAAAATAAAGTAATATCGATGTTATTTCACATTCATCAGAGTTTGGTCGAGTGATTGTACTAGGTAAATTGAGTATGTTTTCTGGGTATTATACTAATAGTTATTAGAAATATATTACTAAATAGTACTTTTAATGGACAAAAATATTAACCTAGTCAATGTGGGTTCCATGATAGAAACTCGTAATCCAAATTTTCAATTAAAAAATGAATAAAAACATTTGTAGCAGGTGGTGTCATCGCTCCAAGACCCTTGCAACTCCTATCAGACAAATAGCGTAACAGAACATTTATTTGCTGTATCTGTTCCCATCTCACAGTATTTTGAGTTAACAAATAATTGATTGATTTGAATGTTAAAAAAACAATTTATGTTTCTCTGGGAAACTTTCCATATTACTTGCTAGTATGTTGTAATTGTCCTCATTTTATCTTATTCAGTTACAGGTTAAATCATGTTTTCATATTTCAGTATATGTAGACACTGTTGTTTACCCAATTGAAACTCAACACCCAATCTATGTTTATAATTAACACTTATACATGTTTATAGATTCTTTAGGAGAATTTGCTTGAAGCAAGGTCATGTGCAATCATTCAAAAGTAAAGGAAACTCATACACTCTTGCTTGAAATATTTACATTTTTATTATCTTAGATGACAACGGGATATGTTGAAAACTCTTCTCCTCGTTGGACAGGAAAGAAAATTCATATGTGTAAATATTGTGGAAAGCAATTCAGCACAAAATGGAATGCAATACGACATGAAAATCTTTTTCACACAACTGATGAACCAGTAATGACATCATTAATGGTTGTTGCTTTGCCTCAGTCCTCTCAGCCGCAGTATACTCCTCGGAAACCAGAAAGGTGAATAATATGATTAAGAATAAATTTTTCACACTTAGTTAACTTCAAGTTCCTTTGTATTCACACGACAATTCCAGGGAAGAATTTTTTATTTAAAGTGTTTATATGATTTTCAATATGCTTCCGATTCGACCACCTGATACATACACAGTGATATCTTGTTCGACTACCGAACCTTTTTTTGCCATAAGAAACAATGGTAATTAGTTTAATATGTTCTTACGTATTTTAAAATAACCGAAATATTACTAAAACGTCTACTGGCGTTCTGACTCGAAGTGCTGCTGGTGAATAAGGTGACGTCACCCGAACCGAGCACTCGGCTCTGGTGTTTAAGCTCCAAATTTCTCTTTGAGTACCGCAGAATTTTTGACTCAAATTTTTTGATTGACAACCGAATTATTCGAGTGTCGAGTTATTTAACGCATTTGACAACTTTGGTGTCATCTACTTAATATGTCTGTATGTTAGTTTTTAAATTGAAAATGTAAACAAATCTGTCTTAGTTTTGTAAGCCATCTTGAATTGTTCAGATAAACATACCCGAAGGGCGAAGAAGACTTGGTTTATTAATTTGAATATTATTTCAGCATCTCTCTAATTAAATTCCACCTCTTTCTTTCACTGTTTTTACTAACTTGATAATCAAATCTTGAAAGAGCTCAATATAGTAGTTAGTTGACACATATGAGTAAATCCTCGTCTATTTCGTATTTATCAGGTTTTGCCGATTTTGCGGCAATTATTTCAGCACAAAGTACAACGCGATACGACATGAACGAATTTGCACGAGGATCAGCTCTCAGACATCTCTTGATCAACCAGCAATAATGAATCAAACTCCACTCAATCAGAGTCCTAATCAGACGTCGACTGAGACGAAATCCACTGTTGTTGCACAGCTCGTTTCATCACAGATTACCACAGTTCAACAGATTCAACAACCTCCACAGCAACAACAACCCCCACAGCAACAACAACCACCGATCATTTCCCAACAACAGCAACAACAAACTATTCAGCAGCAACAAACACAACAAGTGCAGCAACTCGCACGACAGGTTGCCCTGCAACAACATAGACAACAACAACAACAACAGCAGCAGCAGCAACAACAACAGCAGCAAAAGCAGCAAGTCACACAGCAGGTTTATTGATAATTAACATTAAAATTAAAATCATTTCAGAATTTATTTCGTCATTTGAAAAAAGTACTCCAGAAAAATTTTCCAATTCATATTATTGATTCAAAGCTTGTGTAACTGAAATATTACTCGTGACTAAAAATTCAATTTTGAAGGAGGTTACTATTCGGCCCACAGAAATTTATGTTTCATAATATTTTATTCATTTGGTGTTGTAGTCATCAAAACGGTGCAATGGTGGTAATTTGCAACAGTGGTCATTGGCAAATGGCTAATACGGTAAAAACAGTAAAACATTCCTGTTGGCATATTGACCCAATTCGCTACACTCCAGGTTAGGAAATAGGCTCCATAGAATCTATTTCTGTCCGACTTCATCTTGAATCACAGATATCTGATCTGTGAATCCTACATTGACCTAGGCATGGACATGATCACTTTTGCAACTATTTACTAAAATTTCAGATTCAAAGAATCCAGGTACAAATTCAACAACAGCAACAGGTACAACAACAACAGCAGCAACAACAACAACATCGACTTCAACAACAGCAGCAGGTACGAGACGTCTAATACCCTCATCAACAAAATTGATGATGATAGGAAATTTTCTATTTTTATATTATTGATATTGAAAAATCTCTTTTTTTATAAAAAAAAGTTGTTCAAACTAATAGATTTCAACTCTGCGATCTCTTTTCATGAGTATATCTATTACCAGAACACAAAAATGTAGAAATTTTGGCAGGGGGCTGCGTATATTGAGTAAATGCTGCCTAAAAATAGTGAAAATCTGTTGAAATTATATCTGTGATATAATTCCATATTCTCTCTCACATGTAGCAAGAAGTACAGCAACAGCAGCAAAATCACCAACACCATCAACATCAGATGATCGTGCAGCAACAAAGTCAACCTCAACAACAACAACAAGCTATTGTTCATCAGCAACAACAGGTATGGAAGTAATTAATAACAGACCTTTTGTTACCTGTGTTCATGAGTACAGTAATATTTTAATTTTGTTATTATGTGCCAGATCTTATAATATAAACTATTGAATCAAAAGTACATGGATTTGCATATTTCAAGTTTAGTGTTCCACTAAGGTTCGCTTAATGTATGGTCTCGATCCATTGACTAAAAGGAGAAATGGCACTGATAAAGAGTTTCAAGTGACCGATGAGGACTATATTTATATATCTCATTCCGTGCTCCAGAAGTGTGTACTAATATAGAGGTAACTAATTTTGTTCGCCTACTTTACATCAAGTTGTATGAAGGGACTGAAACTTATGGACAAGGGGTATATTCACTTGTGGCTAACACAGACAGTCCTTGGAGTCCTCGAACGTATTAGAACTAAAGTAAATAAAATTATGGCCTAACCCTAACCTGGTACACACACTACAGGAGTGAATATTTCAATTGAACGCCATGAAAGAAACATCAAGGTCCAAAAAACTAAAAAACAGGAACCTGTGTATACTGATGAGTTTTCTCTTTTGCTATCATGTCTTTTTTTTATACTCACAGCATCAGCAGCAACAACAACAAACGCAGCCACAGCAAGTTCAAATCACACCACAACAAGTTGTTTTTATTGCTCCTTATCACGTTTGCAAGTTCTGTAACAAGCAGATGGATACAAAATGCGATCCTACGCCAGTATTACGAGAGGAATTGCAAAACGGGACAATTAACGCTTCATCCTTGCAAGCAGCGTCACTTCAAGTCCAAGCCCCAATCACACCCACATTATTAGCTGGTGTCAGTTTGCCTACCATGCTTGCCTCCCTACCGACTCATAATGTAAGTTGAGTGAATACTAGCAATAGTTTATAATGTATCTAATTCTTATTAGTTAATAAGCTATTTTTTATAAATATATATCTTGAGAACCGAAATACAGAGGTTCTTTTCCATCCAAAAAGGTTTTTATGTATTAGGCAGTCTGCCTTGTTTGGAGCAAAACTGTATAACACCTCTACAAAACTTTTTTCTGGATTAAAGTTTCATTTGATATGGTAATTCAATGTGGTCTGATGGGAATACTTTATATATGAACTTTTCATATGCTATTCACTTCAAACAAAGCTCTGCACAAGCAGTCACTGATATGTTAGGATTTTAACTCGCGATGCCATCACAATTAAGTTAAACGCTTTAATCCCTAAGCCGACACGCCTGCTGATATTGCTTTTCATTTCACAGATCACAATTCCAATTCAACCACAAACCCCGGTGCAACAACAGGATCGGACTACGAACCAACAGCAGATTATCACGAGTCAACAGCTTCAGCAACAAATTCAACCGCAACAAGTTCAGGTCCAGATCCAGTCGAGACAAATCCCACAACTTCCGCCATCCCAAATACACGTCGTTACTCAACCACAACAACAACAACAGCAGCAGCCACAAATACATATTGTTTCTCAGGCACAGCCACTTCCACCACCACCCCAGCAACAGCATCAGCCTTCAGCTCAAACCCCACAACAAGCCCCGACGACGCAAAGTCGAGTTTCACCAATACAAAATGCTGTGCAACAAAAACCTCATGGCTGTAAGTTTTGTAACAAACATTTCGCTACTAAATGGTACCTCGATCAACATGAGAAAATACATACAGGACAGGCGGTCACATGCAATGTTTGCAATAAATCTTTTGTAACGAGATGGCACTTAGATAAGCATGTCAGAGTACACATGCCGGGGGGTAAAAAAGCTCCCAAAAGAGATTCCGTACAAACTACTATTGATCCACGCTTCCGTGATAATATTATTACCATTACAGAAGGGGGTGGTGGTGAAACCGTTCACCAGACTAATTTAAATGGAGGTCGGGAAGAACTCGTTGTTGTACCGTTTAGTATTTCCTCAGACAATAGAAATCAACTGCAACAGTTTAGTTTAGCACAATTATCACAAACAGAACAGGGGGAGAAATGAGAAAATATGCTGCGATAAGTGAGCCATGCACAAGCCAATGTATTTTCTTTGGACTTTATTCAGCATAGATCTATAAAAATGTTTATTTATGGCCTGATAATAAGTTTCTTTCGTTCTGAACTTTTGGGTTAGTTTTTTTGGTATTTTCCAAAACCAAACAGTATATTTATGATATATTAAATTAAAAGTGATTATGGTCAGCAGCCACCAGATTTTGAAAGGTCGTTACAACACTGCATTTTGCGACAGTATTTAATGCTTTTTCTTTACATGTGTGAAAAAGGGACGATACCATTTGTATCTCCCAAGTTGTGTGCGCTTGTTTTAGAATTAGCATTATTTACACCTATTGAAAACATGTCAAAATACCGTATTTATTTCAAGTACAGAAAATGGTTTGTCCAAATAGCTTCGAATTCCAACTCATAGTATCCCTTATGTTGCAATCTTGGGTAGAGTACCTTACACACCCTGTCCATTCAGATGCATTTGTGAAATGCTAGGTTCTTATATTAATCGTGAATGCTATAATTTTATTGTTTAATTTTATTATTGCACTGGTTTTCATATATTGTTCTTTCTAAAAGAAAGAAAAATCGTGATTTATTTTTGCACATTAAGTATGAGTATTAAATTTTTCGTCAAAGTTCATTTACATAAACTTGTTAAGAATCAATTATGAGGAGTCATATTATCCATATATGCGTCACAGTCACGCAAGCAAAGATATATTGCACTATTCAATTTTGAACAAATTTTTCAGTGTCAAAAAATATTGATACTTCTGTTGATACCAACTTTTAATGACTGACTAATTCCTTAACTTGTTACCTATTTCCTGAACTGGGATACTAGAATAGCAACTGGGTGAGAGGGTGTGGACTACCAAATCATAAGCCACATTTACCCTCTATCAGCGAAATACAAAAATTCTCTTTAGCGCTACTTGTTTCAAAATCACTCAAAAAATAATTTTTTCGATTCCGGTTTGCTGATTCCAATTTGCCCAAAAGCCTAAATGGTTTCTCTTAAATTTATAACCTGTTTTTTCCATACCTTTCTCATCGCTAAAAAGTTATTTATCTCATGGTGCTCACAAAAGGAATGTGTTTTGCCCACTTTGTTTGTCACTGTAAAAACAATACAAGGCTATAGCTTTGGTTCCAAGACTGCCAGAAATAATGTTTTTGCTTTAATTTGTGAATATACTTTTCCATCATGTCTTCTGCTTGATTTAAGCGTTCTGTAGGTAAATGTTCTTTGCTCAATGGAGTTTTCATGTTCTGCGTGAAAATAGCTAAACAGTACAGTTTTGAGAGTATAGTTGCATAATGTTCCAATGGTTGTTCAGTGCTGAAGTCTTTATTTATAAACGCCAGTAAGTTTTAGATCAAGCTAATTCACCACAAATTTTCGGGGGAAACATTCAAGTAGGATTGCCTGTTCGTTCAATCAACAGATAAAGTATTGACCTAGCATCAAACCAAAATCGGCATTCTAATTTCAACTTCGATGCTTATCACGTCAGTATTCAGTATCAAAAATATAATTGAGATTCTCAATGCATATAATAGAACGTATGTGAACTCGGAAATTTAACTATGATCACGCTCAGAATATAAACATTTGTTGCAAGACTTGCAACTTTGCGATGGCGTGAAAAGCTTTTCTTCTGGTGTGACTCACACAAAATAATGACAACTGTTCAGCTGTCACAAAATCGAATATACGTTGCTTTTCATAACACTTCCAGGTATTTATCCAGCAGTATACGGAGGTTGAGGTTGTTATATTTATGTTACTCAACAAAGTAGAGTTCTTTTGGTTGATATTGTGTGTATTTTGAAAAGAAATAGTAGTGCCATAACCATTGACGATGAGAGGTAATATTTTGCAGAAGAGTTTCATAGCTCTCCAATGGAAAACGTCGTTTACCAGCCAGTACCTGGTTGCACCAACGCAAGTTATTAAGGTATCACGGCGGCGTTTATTTTGTATATATATAGTAAATTACCACAAACAACTGTAGTCAAGTATTTTGTATTTATTAGACAACGACACCATATGGTTTTCACGGTTTAACTAGCATTAATTAATATTCATTTACTCAATTCAACAGTCCATGAACGTTGGAAACATCCGCTTTATCGCTGACGCAAAAAATTCGGGATCCAAGCTGGAGGCGACCGTTTTTCAAGACGATCATCATAGGGATGGACGTTGGTGGAACATCAGCACAGAATGGAAAGTTGCTTGTTCCTTCGTCGTCGCGGTAACGTCTTTCTTTTTGAACGCTAGATATGAGAGAATCCAAGTACAAAAAGAAATAAAGCTAAATCGTATCCAAAGTCAGGTAAAGTAAAACATGTTACTGTTTTTACAATTTACTGTTTTTGATTTAACGGTAGATAATGATATATATATATTGATTGTTATAAATGCAATTTTTTTAAAGGGAATGAAAAAACAACCGTGTCACTGAAAATATAAAAAACTGTTAAAATCTTTCAATTTTTTTAATAAAAAAAAAAATGATATTTGAAAATAAATACTTATAGATAAAAGATCTCTATGGGCCACTGTATGGTAACCGGCTTGTTAGTGATACAAGCTACCGCGCCGTCATGAAGAGCCATAAAGGGCTTAAGAAATATCTCAGTGAGGCAAGAAGGAAAAAAGATGCGGAAATGATTCATTGTTGGAGATCTTATGTATGGAATGTATTGTATCCTCTGGACAAAGCGGTAAGTTTCTCATGACAAAAATAATGTGTTCCTCCCTCAGTTTCTGTGGATCAGTTGAAATTAAAAGCTTTCTCTCAAATCGCATATAATCGGTCTAGGAAACAGTGGGTCAACATAAAACAAAATACTCCGAAACCATTAGCTAAATTTCGGTGGGCTGTTTCGCCAATCAAGTTTAATAACAACCAAACACTTATAAAAATAAAATCATAAAAAAAAAGATCATAACATTGTTTTAAAAAATTTGTTCATTGTTTTACGCGCATATGTTGAAAAAAAAAATAACAAATCGTATATTGTTTTAGGCGGTTGATTTGATTTTGAACAACGCACATCTGATCGCTCAAGGTGAATTTCCCAAAGAATTTGAACAATTACTGATGCATGCGGCAAGAATGGAGTTTGTGATGGAGGTATTGTCGTATTGGCCCTAAGTATCTTATACCATTTTCCATATATATATGTGAGGTGTGGAAGGCTTGACACAAATAAATAGATAACTCTGACGAATATATTAACAGAGGCTTCAAAAAAAGTAAATTGATTTGTTAAAATATAAAATTTAACCTTATTTGGCAGTCATGGAAAAACGACGACGGAGCACTCGAGTCTGCCAAAAGATTTGACGACGATGATTATTTAGAAGTGAGCAATGCGTCTGGGTTGATTTTCAGAACTCAAATACTAACGCATGTGAAACAAAAGTACGATACACTTCGAGACGAACAGAAACAAATTTTGTTGGATATCAGTAGCGACAAACAAGCTGATGATATTCTAGCTAAAATCTACCAAAAGGTTACTCACCAAGATTTGTGAATTGATTAGTCTAATTTTTTTTTATTGCAGTAAATTTTGAAATTTTTTTTATACATTTTTATACGAGTAGCCTACATATAATATATATATGTAGAGTGCAAAACATCTTTTCAAATGCCATAAACACAAAATGATAAGGTCTATTACGAGATTTTTATTTTATTCATACTAACTATCTGATCGTGCACTAAACTAAGATATTGTGTTCATATATTTGCATAATTACTTTCAGATAATATTATGGTGTCATTTCAAGAAATACATTTCGATCATTGCAACTGTTTCAACTTTATTATTTTTATCTTTCGGTTGAAAAATATGAATTTGTGATTGTATAAATTTTATATTTATGTAATATTCCCTCCTATTCATTCATCCGCAAAGTCCCCTTTTTACGTTTCCTATAGATATATATGCCACTATGGTAGAAATCGACAAAGATGTACGACGTCGATATTCTTTGAAAGTATTCCATGAACCGAATATTGTAGAATCTTAAACTTACCAGTCATCCGAAGCAGTTGGAGTTATGACCAAACTCATTTTTTTTTTGCATTTTCGCCGCATTGTGCAATGTTATACGATACTCACTAGGCCTACAAGATAAGTTAGTTCTGAGGTATCCAATAGCTTAAAACCATTGGATTTTAATATTTCTAATGTATAGTTACGTAACATATATACACATAGGCTATATATATACATTGACATAATATCATTTGAACTTCGTTTATAGGGGACATTGGAGTCCCCCGGTAAAAACGTAATCCTTTGGTTAATCTCAGTTGAAAACGCCCACCGCTGTGGGCGGTGAAAATGAAAGTATTCTCCGTTAAAAATATGAACTTTTCACCGTGGGTGCGGAGTGACGAAAAGGAAATTTGAACTCTATAGGCAGTGCCGCATTTATCATTAAGATAAGCTGAAGCTTCAAGTGCCCCAACATTCAATTTCGAACTGTTATTCATTTTTAAGTCGTTTTGTTTGAGAATTTTACCCGTTCAAAAAATTTTTAACTGACATTTATTTTTTTTTTGATTGGGATAATAACTCTTGTCGCAAATGTGCCATGGCATGGATTAAATTATCTGAGTGTTCTTTCTCCAGTATATTAAACGTACTTTAGCGCAGTAAACCTCAATTGATTCCCTCGGAGGTTAAACGAACACAAATTGATGTGCAATCATGCCAAATGTTCGTGCATTGTAAAGTTGCACAATCGAATAGATTCAAATAACATAATATAACGAAATACACTTAAAAGCCATAGCGCGAGTATATGCGATGAAACCAAATTTCAACTATAACAAAGAACGATAAAATATAGATAACCAACACGCGAGCGAGGGTGGGAAATACGTCATCAACTTTTTCGCATAAAACGTTTCATGAAAATATCAAAAAGGAAATGGAATCTACTTCCGCTTCGATGACTCCTTTCTTCTCTATTCTTACTTCTTTTATCAAGTCAGTTTTGATGAGTATAAATATAAAACATACGCATGGTTAGTTGAAATTGATGATGCTTTCTGTATAAGAAACTTATATATATATATAGCCCAATATATTGTATTTGAGTCGTGACCCGCGTTCTTACTTCATCAAATGCTTGAGCTTTTGTCCAGCAAAGTTTTGCCAATTCCTGATTGCAAACCGTTCCAACCGTCACCGTACAGAGTTTTTGGCCGCGTGACTAGAAACGTACAGCTGGAAGGTGAAAATGGAAGATTTTCAAGCAAGCTACTGCATACAAGAGACGCCTAAGTAATGACCCACCGTCAATATTCATTCTTATTTGACAAGAAGTGTACATATGGGTCGTTCTGTTATTGTTCTTCTTGCATTTATTTTCTTGTTGTTATGAAAATCGCCTTTCTCATTAACTACTAGACCAATTACTTTGAAATTTTCAGTGCTTAAAGATTTTTTTGGCTAGGAGGCTATTACTAATTTATTTTAAAACATTCTGTGGGATCTATGTGATTCGTTTTTAACTTCAAAACTTTGTGTGACGACCTCTTCAAAATGAATAAAAATTATTTGTAGCGGTTCTGCGATCTCTCTCGTGCTACGCGAAAGTAGGAAATATTAGACCGTACCATACAAAAGACAAGTTGAGGTACTGTCTAGGCAGGGATGGGCAAATTACGGCCCGCGGACAGGATCCGGCCCGCCGAAGTGTTCCATTAGGCCCACTTGTACCTGCTGAAATTACGACTATAGTTTTTTTATGGTTATAAATTTTCGTTGAAAATATCTACGAAGACAACAAATCGTCAGCTAAAATAAATCTATAATTTCCCCAATCTTTCTCCGCCTCTGAATTTAATGTGCAAAACGAGCCATATATACCTCAAACTCACCCATCCGAAGTATGAGGATAAACAAAAAGCAAAAACAGATCTCTTCTAACAGGCTTTGCTTCTAACGGATTCAAACCACAGAGATATATAAATAGAGTGCGCTTCTCTCTCGTTTCCGCGGGACCATTTGAAGGCTCTCTCGTTTTGACGATAGACTTCCAACTTTTGCCAGGAGCGTAATGCATTTCTTATGGGTTTGACAGAAATCAATCATTTGCGTCGATTTTTATCGCATATTCTCCTAATCTTGATTCGTGTCTCATTATGTATCAAACGCTAGTATATCCCAGCCCACCATACGGTGCTAATTTTGGCAGTTTTATAAATTTGCGAAAGTCGTGGGTTAATTATATGGCCAACGTATCAGTCAAAAGCGAACAAAAACGACCACAAAACATTAGCCAAGATGGCTTATCAGAATCGCTTCCCCATTTACCTGTATTTGGCCTTATTTTATCGCCTCAAGTATTTTGCGTAGCGATCTCAATATCATTGCGTGGCCTGGTTCCGTAGTACCCAAGCTGTACATATAAATAGAACTAAAGAGCGCTCCATAAGTGCGTGTAGGATAGGATAGGATAGGATTTACATATTTATCCCGGGGGAGAGGAAAGCCGATAAGACGGCTTATCCATATGGCGAACCACGGCCTCTCGTCCGGTTACCATTCCAAGTCGGGTATGGGATTAGTTTTTACTGTATTGTTTGTTTTCGGAAGCATGGACTTGGTGGTGGAGGAAGCCGTAACCGACCAGCGGTTACGTGAACCACCCAACGACGGCGAGGAGTCCAGCAATCCTCTCGCACATAACCATCCCTGCATGGGATTCGAACCTGCGAACCCACGCAGAGTAATTAGAGGTGCGGTGGCGAGCGTATTCCTAACGCTTAGCCCGTTGAGCCACACCACCGCCGTGTACCAATATGGAGGTAACTAATATTGTTCGCCTACTCTACACCAAGTTGTGTAAATGGACAGAAACTCATGGAACACTTGGCTAACACAAACACAATCCCCGAACCCTTAATAGAACTAGAATGAGGAAATTCGGAATAAAGTTGGGGCCTAACCCCAATCTGGTACACAGACTACGGGAGTAGCCTACCAACTAAACTCATTGAGGTGTTATATACACCTCAATGACTAAACTGCGCTTCGCCCTCTGCCGAAGACTTAGGACTATGTGGAAGCTTCCTCGTGGAGGTTATTGCATTATTATGATATAAGGCAAAACAAGTGTTTCCACTTATATCTAATGTATAATCACCTGAACAACCAACTGTTTTCAAGAACGAGATCCACATCAGGCTATAAATTTCCAACTCGAGTATAATTATGTTTGAATACTCACAAAAAGCCGCATATATTTCCATATGTGGTGCACTGGGTAGTAAAATAGACGAAAAACTGGCTATAACCAGATGCAACACGAAAAAACTTTGGAAGCATGAACGCCAAGATGGCGGCGATCAAATTGTCCCGCGCCGCGACAACGCAAAACGAGAGAGAAGATCGTTCCATGTATTTCCAGTTCATTGATTCAAACCGGTATGTTAGTCGTTGATTCAAACCTATAGTTTCATATTGAGTTTTGTCCCTCCGGCCCAGTCATCAAGTCCATTTTTTTCAAGCTGTCTGATTTACTAAATGGTGATGTGGCGGATTAATACATGCTTTGTCTCCTACCACAGGAATGTGGTACAGAGTGAAATATTTGCTTGCTTTGGTGGTTGAATGGGAGGGCCAAAGCAGGAGGCGCAGTTCTTACCACTTCATGGCAGCTCCTGCCACGAACGAACCGCTGCAGCTCTTGTCATGGTTTTATAGCGCTATTCAGTAATCAGTATTAACGGTATATTCACAAATTAATGTACCAGATTTTAATTGATCATTCAGCCAATAATACGGTCTGGTAGTTGACTCCAGTATTACATGCGACACCGGAATTGTGCGACCGCTGAACTGGAAATAAATACCGTTACAAAGCTCTGTGGTGCGCACCCACACAAGAAGACGTGGCACGCGAGAAATTTTATCTGCTTATATACTTCCATTTATTATTTCAGTATTTCCTGAGTTAGGTTGATTTCAAATAGACTAAGAGCCAAGTGCGCACATCTTTTTTACTTAACGTTAAGTCTGCAAGGTAATCTATGCATCGGCCTTACTTTGTGCAAATTCAATATATTTATAGATTTGATTGTATTTAATATATGTACATGGTCATGTATAATATTTATTGGTCTTGCTGATTTTGTTGATTTCCTACTGCATGATCTTGCAATATGACAAATGGTAAGAACCAAAAGTTTTTCTAATAGGCCTACTATCTGACTATTATTCAAAAATTATTAAAGACTACGGTATCTTATTGACAATATCAGAATATGGTACCACTGTACCATGCAGTCAGATTCAGGATGCTAGATACTGAAATTAAATCAATATCTACCACTTACGAGCATACGAAAAATATGTCTTTTTATACTAACTTTTTAACAATTTGAACTAATTTGTTATAATTCAGAGCTTCCACATCAGTAGAGGCATTTAGTCAATTTGAATTAGTATACAAATAAATAATTCTGTAATATTTCACAAGTTTTTTACTAATTACATTTTTGTAAACCAATGTTTGAATGAGAAACAAGGACATCTCTTATTCAAAAAGTATTATCCGGTGTTAGTTAATTATTACAGTATTAATTTTTTTTTAGTATACTCTTTTGATGGAATGGTTGTATTTGGACTTCTGCTTATATGTACCTGTGCTTATCTGAAAAAAATACCAAGGTTAAAACAGTGGATGTTTAGCGAAAAGAAGGGTGTTTGGGGTGTATTTTATAAAGGTATACCATATTTTCCAGTATATAATTTTAATTCATGCAGACTCACCTAATATGATTGTATTGAATTATAATATGTGTAATGAACTAACGATATTGATTTGATGATCGTTGTCACAAAAAGTTGTCTTATTGACTTTTTTCTGTAGGAAAAAATATGATTCTGAATATTTTGTTCAGTGGATTATTTTTACATCTGTTATATTTCTTTCTTTGCAGCTGCTGTTATCGGAACGAGACTACATATTCCAGTTGCATTTTCCTGCATTATTAGTGCAATATATATTCTATTCTTGAAATAATGAGTTACAAATATATTTTATTATTCTTTGTGGCGTATGCGTCACTCAAATATGTGAGTGCTTCTTACACATGGGATCCAAGTGGATATGTCATGTATTGTCCTTGTATGGGAAGACTGGGCAATCAAATGGAACAATTCCTTGGTTCTTTGAGGTTTTCGAAGAATCTTAACAGGACAATGATAGTTCCACCTTGGATTGCGTATGATTCAAGAGCGGATACAAGTTTTACTCCATATGATAAATGGTTTGACTTTGATGAACTACAAAAATTTCACCGAGTAATTCCCATGGAAACGTTTATGAATGAATTTGCTTCCAAACATTGGCCAGATGATGGAAAAAGCAGAGTCATTTTTTGTCCAAAAATGGCAATTGAAAGAAGTCCTGATTCGAAATCGTGCCCTGCTAAAATAGGAAATCCTTTTGGACCATTTTGGGATAGCTTTCACATAGATTTTACTGGAGGTTCTGAAGTTTACAGCCATGGAATTCTCAGCATATCTAGTTCAAAGGGCTGGAATAAAGAATATCCTCCGGAACGTTATCCTGTTCTAGCTTTAATGGGTGCTCCAGGTGCATTCCCTATTGCTGAATCTGATAGAGGTTTACAGAAGTATGTTAAATGGTCTGAAACCATGATTAATTTAGCAGAAGATTTCATCGATAAGCATCTTAAAAGGCCATACATAGGAATTCACTTGAGGAATGGGATTGACTGGAAGCGAGCATGCAGCCATGTCAAAGACATTACTCACCACTTCATGGGTTCACCCCAATGCTGTGGGTATAACAAACAGCACCAACTTACTGACGAAATGTGCTTTCCATCTAAAGATAGCATTGTTAATAAAGTAAAACAAATTGCGAAACTTCATGGTGCTACTCACATTTTTATTGCAACTGATGAAGATCCTATGATAAAGGAGTTGTCAGAAACTGGTTTGCAGGTGAGAAAAATATTTTTTTTTGTCTTCTGAATTTTAATATAGAATACTAACATACCCTGTGCCTCAAGTGATGTGCTGCAATGAAGTTGACTTGGCCTTCAGTTTTTTTCATCAGTGTTTTTAGCAATGTGTAAAATGATGGGTAATTTGTGAGGTGTTTCCGTACCTTTGTACATGTCCACGTGTAAATAATATAGTATGACAACTTTCTAAACATGGACACTGTACATAATGGTGTTGTTTTTTCTTTGATTTGATTTATATATATGCATTTTTTCGTTTCAGTTGGTGAAATATGATGAAAATTATCCAATTGCTGACTTGGCTATTCTAACTATGGCTGATGCTTTCATAGGAAATTGTGTTTCAACGTTCACATCTTTTGTTGTTCGAGATCGAGAAGTGAAAGATATGCCAAATTACTTTTTTTCTTTTGATCACCAACATGCAAAAATAATACATGATGATCTCTGAGGTATCACTCGTGGAGTGCAATATCTTGACAGATGTCTATTTTGTCTGTATTTTTTATAAGTAATATGTGACTTTCTTTGCTGAGTGCCAGATTATACTGGCCTTCTATCTTCCACTGTCACTTTCAGTATGACCAAGTTGACCATAATAAGACTCAAAGATGGATCTGTCTGTAACATAGATTTTTGTCAGATTTATTGTGAATAGATATATTTATATCATAACAGTGAATTTTAGTCACCGACCCTAATCGTGGTGATAAGTGGTATGAGAAACATAACTTAATATTTTGGACAGCCTGCAATTTCACATGAATCCTGCTATTTTTTATAAGTATAATCTGGAATATTCTAAAAACGGTTTTGAGAGCTAGTTCTTGAAATGTTCGTCGAATCTTTCTATTTTGTTGTTAAACTTATCCTGAGGGCAGATGCGAAATGATGCCTCCTCCCCGTACTCTGAATTTAGGTCACCTTCTCCAAATTCTATGACGTCACATTTGAGGGCTAATTTTGCTAGGTTTTCATCTGTTTTACTCTTAGCACCCATATGAAATCATAACTGTTTTTTGCACCGCTGTTGTAGAATTGCTGAAAATTAATTTTAGTCTCGTATATAGATAGAAAAACTATTCGGTATTTTCTATTGCTCTCGTGTATCTGACACAAAAATATCACAATTAGTTACTCTAATGCATTTACTATTTAATGTCTCGGTAAAAGCAGCATACTCCGGGGATAATATTGCTGTGGCTTCTGCCCTTTAGTTTGACCGAACTTATTTAAGGAACAGGCCGGAGTACCCCGAGTTAGAAACAGTGCATGAAATAATTGACTTATATAAAGATTGCTCGGTTTTAATATTCGATACACCCATTTAAATGCTTTATTCTCGTAGTACTAGGATGAATGCAATAAACTCAATCGAAAGCTCGCAAAGTTTCTGTTTGTTCGATATTGGTGATTGCGGTAGCGTTGAATGGACATGGCACCTCGACCGCTACTTCTCAATAACCGAGTAAGGAATTTTTAGTATGAGAAAAGTCAACGGCTGCTAGTAGGCCGTTGAGAGAGAGTTGCGGTTGAATGAGAGGTTTCTTTAAAGCGGCAGGCACTGCTTTTTTTTATTAATTTGCTGAGTCAAAAATAGTGTTTTTTCGGTTCCGATTCCTGGATCGCTCCTGGCTACGCCACTGTCGGTCAGCATACATGATGTAGTTTTGGAAATGTTAGGAGAATAAGAACAGGTTAACTTGTTGTTTGTTTGGGGGCATGTTTCTCTCTGTGGTTAAACGACGACGATTATCACGGTAGCGTCTTATACATGGTGATACGAGCCGGGTGTCGGCACACATGTCACTTCTTCATTAGCATTTGACGGACTTTCCTAGATGCAACCGTGCAATGGTCAACGGGTCATATATATACTAAATAATATATTACTGAATAAAATGAGCACGATAATTTCCCAACGAACAGGGGATATTGAAACTAACTAGTCATGGTGACACGGATTGGGGCTATCAAACCTAATCATGTCTACGGTACCGTAAAATATAAGAAAGTCTAAATTAACTCGTTTTATTCCGTTTCCTATTATTAAAACGTGATGAGTTTTAGTGAAATCTTACCAAAATATCCTATGCACTGTAACATGCGTTGCAGTAAAACAAGCCACAATAATATGATTAACATGCTGTAACCGCTCCTTTGAAAATCCTGGCTACACCACTGTCAGTCAGCATACATGATGTACTTTTGGAAATGTTGGGGAAATACGAACAGGTTGACTTATTGTTTGTTAGGAGGCATGTTTCTCTCTGTGGTTAAACGACGACGATTATCACGGTAGCGTCTTATACATGATGACACGACCCGGACCCGGGTGTCGCTGTACGCCTCAACTGCACACATGTAACTTCTGGTGACCGTACATTTGAACCCATGTGTATATCCGCCGGTTCAAATTATATGCGGGTGCTAAAACCCATGGGTTAGGGTTAGTATGGGTTCAACTATCCGTACAACAAAAAAATTTCCATAGGTGCAATAGTATGCAGGTGCAATTTCAGTGGCGGCGCGTCAATAGGGCCAACCGGGGCAATGCCCCTGTTGTTTTTTCGGTATAATAAAAAATATTCGAAAAATACCTCAATATCGGTTGCACAGACTGTCTACACTAGCCATATTCTCCCGACATGGTTCATTTTTCACTCGCAAAGCCTTCGCCGAACGTCGACTGGGGCGACGCCGATTTTGCCCCGGTTGCTCATTGTATATCGTATTCTCTCTTTTATCTTCCACTCGCCGCGTTTGTCTCGTTTGTTTTCTGTTTCTTTTACTAAATCATCGGGGCTAGCCCCGAAATTATGACGACACAATGCCGACGTTTCTTACAACAACGTGTTGACATATTCACGCATTCCTTCTCGTTCGTTGGTTGCTTGAAGAGTTGATAGTTTCCCCGCCTTCGTTTTTGTCGCATGTTTCGCTATTTGAATCAGTTAGAGACCTTTAGTCCATTTGCTTTCAATTTTCCACATTCCTTTTGAGCTCCTCACTTCTTTCCGCCTTAGACCTCATAATGAATAAGGTTGATGCACTACTTCGCACTCCGTTTTCGCAGCTGCCGCTGGAACAAAAATTAGAGGTACAACGTCTTGGGCCTTATCAACCAAAAAATTGTTCACTGGAACAATCCAATGACGGAGGAAAGCGTCGGCGTACATTCTGCGCAGAAACTTGGTATAAAAAACACAAATGGTTGTGTTACAGCGAGGACAAAAATGCACTTTTTTGTTTTTATTGCCTACTTTTTGCTACCGCCCGTGACTCACGTTGGTGTAAATTTGGTTTTAGAGATCTTAAACATCTTTCCGAGCGTGCCAGGGATCATCAATCTTCTATGGAGCATCTAGACAATGCAGTAAAATACCGAACATTCGGAAATGTTAATATTGCAGCACAGTTGGATGAAGGACGCGCGGTTTCTATTCGTCGGCACAACCAAAACGTCGAGAAAAACCGCCATGTTCTCGGTCGATTGATAGATGTTTTGAAGTTCATTGGTTGTCACGAGCTGTCCCTCCGTGGGCACGATGAACGTGCTGGCTCTTCTAATAGGGGGGTATTTTTGGATATGGTGGAATACACCGCATCCCTAGATACAGTATTGAGAGATCATCTTGATGCCGCAACTGTTTCGAAAGTGACATCTAAGGATATCCAAAATGATTTGCTCGACTCAATGTATAAAATTTATTTACAACATTTGGCTCTGGAAATTGAGAATTGCCAGTTCCTTTCGATTCAGTCTGACGAGACAACTGACACCACGTGCGTTTCCCAACTGGCTGTGATTTTTCGGTTTGTGAAAGATGGTAAACCTACCGAGAGATTTCACAGCTTTGTACCAATCGTTGATCGCACGGCTTGCGGGATATCGGCTGTACTGAAAGAAGTGTTACAGCCTTACAACGCGAAGTCAAAATTGATAGCTCAAACTTATGACGGCGCGGCAGTCATGAGTGGGTCGAAACATGGTGTTCAAGTTTATATAAAAAAGGTTTTCCTCATGCGCATTTTTTACATTGTTATGCACACCAATTTAAACTCGTTATTAAAAATATGTGTCTTGATACCCCTCTCGTTCGTATATTTTTTGCAAATGTTTCGGGGTTTTCTTCATTTTTTTCCGTTTCGCCGAAGCGCTCTGACCTCCTTCGCCAGATATGTAGCCGCCGTCTCCCAGCTTGTGCACCAACACGTTGGAACTTCCAATCACGCGTGGTGCAGGGCGTGTCCGAAATTAGGTCTGAGCTCATTGAGTGTTTCAAAGGCATTCAGAGCTCTCCGGGTTGGGACGAACGCTCTGTGAGGGAGGCGGCAGGTCTAAAGCGTCTGCTAGAAGATGGTGAGTTTTCATTTTTCTCGCTTTTTTCTCCACAATATTCTATCACGTGGATGTATTATACGGCGCATTGCAGTCAAGGCTAATGGATGGACCGTCTGTGCAGTCGTGTATTTCAGACTTCTGCGATGCTGTATCTCGTATCCGGGAAACAATAAAATACGACGACACATGGAGTGCTTCTTTACGCCGCGGGCAAACAACGCAGCGTTTGATTTTGTCTGCAAAGGAATGCTGCGACATTCTGGTGAATCAAATAGGCGATCGTCTGCGCACTGAACACCTTGCCGCGTTCTCTTTGATGAACTCCAAAAATTTTTCAAAATTTGCACGTCAATTTCCCATCCATTTGTTGGCTACTGTCTCCAAATTTTACCCCATGATAAACGTGGGTAAATTGGAAAATGAATTGCGATGTATATACACCAATCAATCTTTTTTGAACATCACATCAACTTGCGCGCTCTATGGGTTCCTCATAGATAACACTCTAGTAACTACCTTTGCGGCGTCTGCAAAATTTCTGGACATCATTTTGACGACGCCTATTTCTTCCGCCGACGCAGAGCGAACATTCAGCACGCTGAAGCGTATTAAAACGTATCTCAGAAACACAATGAAGCAAGATAGATTAAATTCCTTGGCTGTTTTATCCATTCACAGAGACGTTATTTCTGGGATGCATGACTTTAATCAGCGCGTTATTGAGCATTTTGTTTCCAAGAAACCGCGGCGTGTTGCATATATGTTCAAGCAATAGAAGTCTAGCAGCATATATATCTATGAGTGAGCGACGCATGTCCTTATCTTTGCATTAACTTTCCTTTCTTCATAGTAACGTTTTAAACCTTATTTTAGGTTTTGTCTGCTTTCCCGAAGTTTCTGTTAACATGTCATTGTATTTATCTGGGTAAATATTGCCTTTCCTTTTGAAAGAGGTTTCAAAATAAACTATGTCTATATTTATTAATCCCTTGACTTGGACCGGTTTTAAAGACACTTTCTTATCGTTAAAAATTGTCGTTTTTGCCGATTGGTTGTTACCGATGGAATGGTTTTTATACTCATAAAATGATGGGAGAACTTACAGCGCTCATCCTGTCCCCGTAGATGGGGGTGACTTGGTCCCGCAGTAGCTTGCCCCGGTTGTCAAAATGACCACGCGCCGCCACTGGCAATTGTCATGGGTTCAAATGTACGTGGGTTCAAATGTAATGGAACCGTAACTTCTTTATTAGCATTTGATGGACTCCAATCCATTACTAGATATAGCAAGGGTCAACGGGCCATATATATCCTAAATATATAATAAATTACTAAATAAAATGAGCATGATAATTTCCCAACGAACGCGGGGGATATTGAAACTAACTAGGCATGGTGACACGGATTGGGGCTATTAAACATAATCATGTCCACCGTAAAATATGTTTTAGCATTTTCTAAATTTCAAGAAAGTCTAAATTATCTCGTTTTATTCCGTTTCCTATTATTAATTTGAAAAATGTGAACAGTTTTAGTAAAATCTTACCAAAATAACCAAATTTTCCTATGCACTGTAACATGCTTTGCAGTAAAACAAGCCACATTAATATGATTGCAAATTATCTGTCTCCTGTGTATGATTCCTGACCGCCGATTCAGTCGTTGCAAATAACAAATCGCTTTGCGTGTATTAGGCACATAATTATCTTTAACAGTTGGTATCCGTTATTTTAGAACAAGTAAATGAAACGCAACAATTCAGCTGTGCAAACTCTGCAACATAGAGAAATTTTGCATCGTAGTGTGACGACCCATGTGTGACGAATACACTACTCTTGTTGACTAATTCGGTATTTAATTTGGCAATCCTCATAAAATTATTAATTTGGTGTGGCAAAAGAATTTATTCATTTTTTCGATGATTGTGTGTGTGTGTGTGCGTGCGTGCCTTAATTAGTTTTTTTTTTACTTTTGGGGGAGCGAACACGTACTACTTCTTTTATCAATACCTTTCCATCTAAAATCTGTACGTTTCAAACCTTAC